ATGGCTTGACAGACAATCACCATGGTAACGATGCCCGCTGACGGGACACATTTACACATTTACAACGTTGATGGCTTGACAGACAATCACCATGGTAACGATGCCCGCTGACGGGACAGCGGCGGCTCCGACGGCWGCAGCAGTGGCTGTGAGGCTGCATGATCAGAAATGAGACAAGCAAAGGATAATTCAATACAGCAGATTTTTCCATTAAATTTGGCCTCGATTAAACGTAAAGTATCTCGGTCCATGAGGAATCTCGTTCAACTGGATTCCGGACTTCAAAAACTAAAATAAGTACTTGTAATGCATGCACGATCTTGGATGGGATCTTAACATTCAAATACTAAAAAAAAGCCACAAATTCCATCGAAAAAAAGTGTAATCTCTTTTGTGTTTTTATGTTAGCATCGCATCCATAATAACTTTGAGCAGGGTCCATAGGTTAAAAGTCTATGGATTTTGAACTCTGGAACATACCATAGCTGTCATTGGGCAAATAATCATAACATCAGTACATACCAAGTGGTGATGATTTTTCCCGCTCCCATCGGTATGTTGTTCATTTGCGCGATCCAGATAGCCCCCACTGCTTCATACAGAGCAGTACCATCCATGTTGACTGTAGCTCCAAGGGGTAACACGAACCTGGTGATGCGGGGATCAATACCGAGCTTCTCTTCCGYACATCTAATCGTAGTCGGAAGCGTTGCAGCACTGTGGAAATAAAATAATGGTATGGCATCGTTTTGGCTCGTTATTTGGGTCTTGTTTGGCAAGGCTGTCATACCTATCACATGCAGCTACTCAGGTCACACTTCTAACGAGATACAATTTCTGACGTAACGTTACTCTTGTCATATTATGATGTCTTGACGCACGTCACGCAACTCGTGTCACACTTTCTTATATGGACACTTGAAGATTGCCCAACTTGTCTAATGGCCGGTTGTGACTCACCTTGATGCTGTACTTTTATCACTCTATGACATCATACCACTCATGTCACGCCACTTGTGTCACACTTTCTTATGTAGGGCAGAATATGTTTTGACTCACCTTGATGCTGTTCCCCAAGCCGTGATAAGCGCGTCGCTCATTTTGGCCATAAACTTGTACGGGTGGTCTCGCGTAACAAGAAAATAGACGAGTGGTAGCGAGATAAAAGTATGGATGAGAATTCCTAGAATTGATGTGACCATAAGCAATCCTAATGCCTCTAGGGATTGTAGGATATCATCCATGCCTGAAAACTTGGCCGCGATCAGACTGCAGATGCCGATTGGAGAGTACCTKTTGACGTAAGAATAAAAGGTGGTATGAAAATGGTAACCACGTGCACGACCTCAGGTTTATCGATGGTGTACACTTAACCTCCTTTCACAAACAGTACTCCGTTTTAAGGGAGAAGTAAAAACATAAATGCAGTGTAGGGAATGAGGGGGGNTAACTTGTTTCCGATAACTTTTGACTTAACGTTGACATTGTTATACTCCGATAAAGGACCAAAGTCCGAATCGTCAGTTCAGTCCAAGTTATTTTTACACGGTGCTTGTGTTTTCTTCTTATTGACTTGTTTGTATTCAACAATCCAACGCATGCAGTCCCAACTAGTATCGGCGAATTATACTGAAGAAATTAAAAACGCGCGCGCGTGCTGTGTGCTGTCATAAAGCACGCGGGGGTTGGCAGAACACGAGGAGAAGTGTTAGGAAAAGCACGACGCGTAGCGAAGTGCTTCTGGAAACCTCTCGAGTGTTCTGCCAATCCCCAAGTGCTTTATGACTGCACATACACAGCACAGCCAGCAAGTTTTTTATTTCTTTCATAAAATACAAATTACAATAATAGGTAGGAATGACGCAGAGGAAAGTGCGCGCGCGTGCAATGTGCTCTCATAAAGCACGCCCTCCAAACCAATCAGAACGCGACATTCATAACAGTTATTTTATAAATTAAGTATAGTGATCTCTCCTTCATGTCATTGATAATTATAACACAAATGTTGATCTGTAGCTGATGCCGTTCAGGCCATGGGACACATGTTTTTTTTTTTATGCATTTGCATCTTAACCTACACTTTCAAAATGAATACAACTCACCACATAACGACTGTGATCATCCTCATCACCGCTTGGTTTAGCGACTCAAACAGCGTCTTCAGTGGCATTCCCTGCTCTCCCATCCTACTCAGCACRGCTCCCAACACGATGGAGAACAGTACCAGACCAAGAACATTCATTGAGCTTCCATGAACGGGGGAAGTACCTGCAGGGATCTTGCTGTATGATCTGCTCACAAGCTCCTTCACCGTGACGACCTTGTGGGTGGCATTCACGGCAAATTCAGCGATGATTCCGCTTGTTTCGTTTTGTTTGTTKGTCTCTATTGTCTTGTTGTATTCTCGATACTTGGCTTCCAGTGATGAGTATTTCGTCTGTCTCTGATGTTGAAAGTAAATCAGTAARATTTTAGGCGTACTGTAACGAGCTTGTCACACCACTACTTCATCTTCTCCCTTTCCTAATAATAATAATGGGATTAACAGTGGATTCCACAGAGTGGCWCTTCYTCCACTGGWTTCCAATTKGAATTTAGAAGAGAGKACCTGGAAAACCCTCGAARCACAGGAGAGAACCAACAAGCAACTCTACTCACATACAACACCTAGCTCGGCGKKACTCGAACCCGGGTTGCATTGATGAGGCAGAGGCAAGCGCTCTCACCGCTACCCCACMYGTGCTTCCCATAAATTCCCATTCTATCCAATCCTTTCCCTTTCTTTCCCTTTTTGGCTAGTTCACCTTTTCCCAAATTCCCCTCATATTCTGCAACCCCCCTTTTTCTTTCTATCACTTTTTGTCATCTCTTATCCCTCAGGAGAGACTATCAAACTCTATGTATGTATAACGGAAACGCATGTTTCCATTGAGGGGGTTAGTAACATCAACAAATCATTCCTTTCCATGTTCCCGTGACAATTGAGCTGAAAATGGGACGCCCATGTATAAGCATGAAACCTTATATACATACTATGTCACAAGAACGCATCTAGGAATGTCGGTTTCCATTGAGTGGGTAACCAGTAACCTCAACAAATCATTCCTTTCCATGTGCACGTGACAATTGAACTGAAAATGGGACGCCCATGTATAAGCATGAAACCTTATACATTATATGATAAGAATATACAAATATATTTTGCTTTTGAAGTCGTAGATGATACGAGTGCAATGCATCTTTTGACCTCACCTGATTAAAGGCAGCTTGGACGATGTTGGGTGGAAACATATTCCTGTTGAACGAATATAAAAAATAAAAGCGWTGCGCTAGTAAACTAATTGTTAAAATTCAAAATAAAATGCGTGACGAAACCGGGATAAGAGTCGCTCCGGTTTGTTTTTGAAGTCGTGACTGCAAAGGGCGCCATTTTTTCATCCCCTTGCGCGTTGTGGCGTCAAAGCACCATTCATTGACTAACTTCTTAAAAGAAAATGTTTCGTACCATGATGCACATAATAAAAAAGAAGGTAAAGGTCAAGATTTGTGAACCTCTAAGCTAAGTTTCTCTATTGGATTTTCAATTTCATTTGCTATCGATTCACTTATTGACAGTCGCGGTCAGTGTTTCCTGGGAGGAAGCAAATCCACTACATATCAACGGTGAGTAGTAAAGAGTTTCTTCCTCTCGCCAAAATGAAATGAATAAAGAAAGCAGCGCACAACTTTGTTCCTACTAAACACATCGATCTCAAAACTTTACAAAAAATAAGCAGATACGAGAAAGAGTTGCACGATTTGGACACAATTAAGCTATAACTTTTTCCGTCCTACTTCATCTAAGTGTAGATTTTAAACAATTAACGGAAAACATGCTTTTCACAAGAGATAGTTCATTTTTGATTTGTACAAACACAAAGGAATTGAAGCTTTCTGCGCATGTCACATGAACAACTAAAAATAATGCAGTTAATGGATCAACCGGAAAAGCTAGACATCTTCCTACCTGATGAGGTCCAAAAATGCATCCACGGTGCGGAACTTCGCCGTATATTTACTGCCATTGGTGTCAGGCTTTCTTCCCTTTCCTGGCTGGATAGACGTCACTAAGACAATACCCAAGACAACTGCGACAAAAGTCGTGCCCAAGTAATATATAACAGTGCGGCGACCGATTTTGGCTGTTGCTTTAGAATCAAGGGATGCAACAGCAGTGACGAGGCTGGCGACGATCAKAGGAAGGATTAACAATTTGAGCATGTTCATGAACAGCTCGCCTGGGAATCCTATCAGCATCACTGCAGTTTTCCTGTCTTCAATGTCGGTGATGGCGTTTACGTTTCCGTTCGCTGCAATCCCGATAATGAAGCCGATCACGACACCAATAAGAATGAACGACAGCAAAAGATCGCTGCGAATGATTCTTATACAAGCTCTCAGACATCTAAAAAATGCGTTATCCCTCTCTACTCTTTCGAGGAACCTCATTTTTCGTTTCGTCGTTTGTGATGGATGCAGCTCTCAGTTTCGCCAGGCAGGTAGAGCTCAGACACAAGAGGTCGAGTCATAAAAATTCTTCGCAAATATACGTTATTAGGAATCCAGAATTATGGAGTCATCCTATCACAGAGAGAGTAAGACTACCATGTGATCTTAATAGTAAATTTCCGTATGATTTGCAAGCCACAACTGAAACAACGACTCAGCATCGTGTTTGATTTTCCATTGGCTAATGAGAGTAGGAGCAACGTTTCGAGTTCGAAACCTCTCTTTGCAAACATGATATTTACGACAAATTAAGAAACGCATCCCAGAACGATTTTCCCAATTTTATGTTCAGTTTTAGCGGGCTGTATTAGGGCCACAAATTTTTTCGTAATTGAAAGACAAGAAACTTCTTTTTTCTGTTTTGTGAAAAGAAATTATAATATCAAACACATGCATATATTGGAATTGATGTTTCGTTTCGCAGTGTGTTTTGATATAGGAATAAAATTTACCTTTTATTTCATATTATTATCATATACTTTTGTAATGGCCGTAAGGGAAAGTATAGTTTTTATTTATTTTTTACGGTTTCCCTCACGGATGGAAGCTTCACTTTTAAAGAAATCTGATAATGTTAATTTGCTCTTGTATGGAACGGTTTACTCCCAAGCATGTTAGTGCTCATTCACGTTKTACWTTTGAAATTCTTCCGTGTAAGGAARAAACGTCTTTTCCGTAAATAAAGAGTAACATAAACATTARGATATAAACTGAAACTGTTTTAAGACTAAGAGAGTCAAGAATAGTTTTTTTCATAAATTACCTATCACTTTTGACTTTTTTTTGTGCAAATATTTCTGTTATTCTGAAAATTGAATAGRCCTCAAGCATGATGACGTTTTGCCTACACTTCCAGAATCCCTTTCGGTAGCATTTTTTCTTTTATTTGATTGTTATGCTTTTTCTTGGTATTCTCAAAGTATACACTTATTTCAATAAAGTTAGTCACCTGAAAAGCTATAAAGCTGAGGCCGACCAGGATTATKGGTAGATTCATTTTACACGTTYAACCGCTTGATAACTGTTCATGGACTTGCGAATCTTTTACCGGTTACAGTCTCACCTCTTCTGAACATCATCGAGCTGCAGTTTGTATTTAAAAAGCTTTGTATATATATGCTTTTTTGATATGAAAAGTTTCCCATGATCCCAGCTTTCTAGGTTTTTGGTGACTAACTTTATTATGTAGCTTCAACATTTGAATCAAAGAGATTTTGAAAAGGATTCTGGTACTTAAGTTATGAAATGTCATCGCGGGCTCACATTCAATCGTAATCTGCCTTGACATCTCCTTACTAGGATATTCCTAAGTACATAAATCAAATTTTGCAAGAATAAGTTTGTTATATTTTTTGACCGAGGAATTTTAAGAGTTTAACAGATACTCGGGGGTCCGGGATGAGTAAAAACTATGACAAGAAAAATTAAGCATTCAAGTCGTCTAGCTATTGCTCACTATTCTTTTATGGCTCTTATTATTACAGAATCACAAGGAAATGGTTTGGCTCACCATGCCTCGAACATTCTTACGCAGGAACGAACTGTTGATCTTCCTTCAAGTATCGGGAACGTATGTATGACAACAGCAAGCCAAAATCAAGAGCCACACACTGATTCTCCGATCCAAACACACCAAGCTCCTTGTCATTGAAGGCGATTTGGACTACAAATTTTCAGTTCCGTCAGATGACAAAAGGGTAAAATATGACACCACGCTCATTGACTTCAAAGACCGCCGACCGTCTGCGACTTYTATTTAGTGAAAAACTTACGATACCACCATGAAGTGACCGTCATGGTACCCTGTCCAAGTATTAATTTTCATTGGCTGAGAATTCGCGTTCTGTGATTGGTTCAAAGGATATCATGGATCCCGCATCGTGACAGCATGTGTCGTGTAACACAGTTGGAACAAAATCTACTTTATTCGAGGTCACAGTAATATTGCTTCTATTTGACTCCAATCTTAATTCCGAAAGTAACTCAGTATCCGGCTGTGATACTACCACAATGCCACAGGTAACCCAGGCTTTATTTGCAGTCTTCTGTAAAGTCTTCATAAATGTATGCGCAAAGATCAAGACACTACTGAAGGTCTGCTAAACAGTTTTTATTGAAGATTACTGAAAATTAGGCACGTGGACCCCCAACATTAACCGTACACTGGCATCACATGTGACTGAGAGGCCGATTTTGGGTCGCTTCCTTCGCTTCAGAGATTTTTCTCCATCTGCAAAACCTAAAACTCTAAGTTCCAATGCGATCTATGAATTAGCAGTGCTCTAACTAGATCAGCCAAGAGATTATTCCAGGGTTAAATAAAATAAAAAGATTTAAAAGACTGTCCAAAAAATGGCTTGGGCTCCCTGTGCGTGGCAAAATCTGCTGTWTGTAACCTGTACGGTGGGTTGTCATCAACACAGTAGTTAAAAAAAATAGAAAGATCACTGCTCTACAAGCTATCAACACATTCGTCACGAGTCGACTATTAAGAAAGATTACACCCTGTTGATCAGTTCTGGCATGCGCGATGTTCCCTGCCGCTCCGAACCCTCCGAATAACAAACTCTGAAATATTTTGGTTGGATTTGAGTTGAGCGGATTCAACGATGGTTTAAAATCTTGTATCTAAATACTACATCTTCTTCGTCAGTGGACATGTCTTGTCCACTGCGGGTCTTTTTGCCATCGTCCCGTGGTCCTGAACGTCATTAAAACAGCTTTGAATTTGTGTGTGGATTTACTGGATTGATCCATACAGCGGGACTACGAGTATGCCCTACAAGAAATCGAAAAAGTCCAGAATTAAAGATCTCAGTTCTTTGGACAGCAGCGATGATCCATCATCATCAGTTGACGATACATCAGAAGTATCGAGTACATCGGTGGATTCGTCCAAGTTGGAGAAAAGAAGAGATGAGTTAAGCCCGAAGTCGAAGATAGCTAGAAGAGCCAAATTATGTAAATCAGATCACTCGCCAATTGTTTCACGTGAGGACGAGATATGGCAAAAGGTACGTAGATGTTGTGTTTTCATTGGATTACCAGTCTTACTAATGATTTAAAACCTATTCCAAAGTGGCTCAACTTTACGTTTATATTTGGTATTAAATTTAAACTTTAGAATAATAAATAACGGTTAATGATTGACATGGGTCGGGTGGGTTGAACGGAGGCGACCGTTACATCCACCTAGTTGTCATAGCAACAGAGTGCCAATATCAAAATTAGTTAACCAAATGTAGATAGCATGATGTATAACTAATGTAGAAGTCTTGTTTTAAATAGCTGGTCGTGACTGCGTTACTATAACCAGGATTTCAGTGGTAACCAGGGCCCACTTRTGTACGAAGGGTGGATAGCGCTATCCGACGGATAAATCCCCTATCCAATGGATTAATTTATTGGATAACAGCTTCTATTTATTCGTCGGATAAATTTGAGTCTAAAATATAAATATGCGTCATTCACAACCCTCACCTTTCGAGTGAGGGATGCAACCTAAGAGAAGGATTGATTGAACCATTGCCTTGGGTTAAATCGAAATTCAAGCCGAATTCTTTTGCTCTTACTCAGTACAGAAATTCATGTACAATAGCGATCCAACAACTTGCAAATTTTGTCCTACAAAAAAATTAGTGTAACTCTTTAAATATTACCATACGTCAACCTGACAGCCACTCAAGCCAAATTGAGATAAATACCTTAATTGGGCTTCCTGTGGTTGGGCCTATTCTTCTTCGCCCCGTGATTAAAAGGTTGCTCCATAAAGACTTTTATACCAATATGATTATCCTTAATTAATATTACTTTGATAGCTATGACCCACTATTTTTCAACTCGGGTGTCAGTCGTTGAATTTTCGGCAAACCTTCGACCAACTCATTAACCCAAATCCTCTAATTGACAAGTTACACAATTACACATCAAAAAATACCATTAATTATATCAAATTACACACAAACACTAAAAGATGTTCGTATGTGTCCAGCCTTTCTCCAGTGTGAAGAGCCCTTTGTCTCGTATCGTCTTCTGCTATAGATTGTTCGCACTTGGCCTACTGCATTGAGAAAATACTTGGGTAGATTTATCAGGGTATACTTCTCTAGCTTTACACGTAAATCACATGTCAGAAAGGTAATCAAGCCGAACAATCCTAAGCAGTGGCTTAAGGTCACTTGTCGCTCCATTTAACTTCAACCATTTTTAATGATGATTTTAGAGCATGTTTAATCTTCAAAGGTAAGTTCCAAACCCCTCTGTTTGATACATAAATATTTTCGTTCTCATAAAAATCCCTAACAGAACTTTAGGAACGTGACTTAAACACTTTATCGTTACTTAGCTGTACTGTGTTGAAGAGAGCCTCAATCAAAGCCCATCAAGAGAATGTTTTCATTACAAATTACTCCTCGAAATTGAATCAAAAATATGCGAAGCAACTCTAGCAACATATGTTTTTACGCTCTTTTTGCATGTGTTCGAGCCACACGTACTGAAAACGAATTTTTAGTTCGCAAACAAGGCAAAGGTTTGAGCAAATCTTGTTTAAAAAATATTAGAATAATTATGCACACTTCGACTAATCCTCGAATGTGGCATCTAGATGAAGCTGTTATCAATTAAATAGCATCCAGATATATCGGGTTTTTTTTTGACCTGCTACTGTCTTGAAGACTGCTTTCTGGAATCTCTTTAACACGTTGCATCAATTTGAGTTCGCTTTGACGTCTGAGTCGAAGAGCATTCTTAGCTGTTTTTAGATCTAAAACTGATTACTGCATGCAGCTTGACTCTTGCTTCAGGGTGCATGTTTATGTTTTTTAAAAGCTTTCTTTGTTGGAGTCTTTTTGTTGGTACACTAGTTTATCRTTGAATTTAAAATAGGCGAAAATTCATGCCTAGTTCAATTTTTGCAGAATTTCTTGATTTACGATAACTGTTTTTTTTTTAATTGTCTGGCCATGTTTGTTGGGAAGTATTAAGAGAAGTAATCAGAGTAGCCATTGACCTCTGTTTGCTTTGTCATGCATTACACGTTTTTCCTACGAATGATTTCTGATAGTGCTTGTTATCTTTACATCATTCTTTCACCTTATCTGTGAGGATACTCTCAAATGTTTTGATACCTCAAGAGTATTTTCTACTACACTAAAAATATCGTATCTACTATCATATCTACGACACTAAAAATATTTCCTTTACAGTTGTTAAGCATTTGAATTCATATTATTTACTATATAAGAATTTACAAATCAATAGAAATATTTCCAATATCGRAAAGAATGTCATAAATATGTATTTYCCCGCGCTTGGTCAGCCRCGGCGACACGGTTGCCATGGAGATTATGGTGTGTTTAGTGACGTAATAAGAGGGTGCTCTGAAATCACTGCTAAAGAATCTTAACTATCCTCGCCCAGACTAGCTCGCCCATCACCTGATGCTCAGCTTAGATCATCAGAAGTATTCGTGGGCCTCGAATCGAGTGGCACTCAGTTCCCGGATGTATGACGTCACATCTCTTAAAGTCCAAACCCAGTTTATTATTACTGCCGGGGAAGGGGTGGTATTTTGTCTCATTATACGTCGAGAGTAAACAACTTCTACTAAAATGGACCGATCTTTTCTAAACACAGTACCGTCCATCTTCCACCTCCGTTTAAATCAAATATTCTTGGGGTGCACGTTACGTCATAGCCGCCATTTTGGTTGACGATAACAAAGCATTCCTCATTAGCTTCTCTTGTACGTTATTTACATCTCAAAGGAATTTTTCGGTCACGTTGTTGCACTCAAACAATAATAGGTTTTTCGCGGAAGGGTGTTCCTAAAGGCTCCAGGCTAAAGTCCATAAGCCTAGTCTATCAGCGTACTAAGTAGGAATTAAAGCCACTTGTTCTCTCTATCTATCCCCCAGAGCGAATCCAACCTGAAGGTTACTCTAGCAATGTCGGAGTCCACTTCTATCTCCAAAACAGGAAGTATGGAATCGCGTGGGAAAAGACACACGTTGGTCCAGATGTTGGCACTCAGTCGAAGTCAACCGGTAAGGATAATGATTTGTAGAGCGCCCATTCTATATGGATATAATCGAAGGCGCTTTACATTGAGTTGTGAATCTCAGTTGTGAATGCTTTTTATGCAATTTACGATATGAGAGATGGTTATTTTGAGGTGTAGGCACTGAGGGTGGTCGCTGCCAGGGTTTCTTTACGTCCTATACCCAAGTAAAACAACAGTAGTACCACTCTAGTGGCTTCTAGGAAACTCGAGGTGGGTTATCTCATTCTTGTTTTATCGCAGTTCTTAAAGCTGAGGAGTGACTGGTAACGATCGCAAAACGTACAGATTTATTGGGATGTAGGTTTTGCGCGTGCGCGTATAAATCTCTTTCTTATCTTTAGGAACGGATAAAAATATAGCTCAAACTCTTTATATTTTTTTTCTAAAGACTAATTAAAAAGCCCAAATTAAATAAATACTCCAGTTTCGAGTTCTCTGTTGCTCAGGGTTAGCCTCGATTTTGTGCAGAATACTCATGTGTTCCAGTGAAGGTTCGTGGAATTTCAAAATGTTTGTATTGTTGAAGTTGTGCATTCTTTACTTTACCGTTGGTAATTGTGAATATTTAGACACTGATACAAGGCTAAGCCTGAGTAAATGAGTCTGTAATCAAGGAACACAGCGGTAATTTGGAACTGGAAACTGGTCTATTCCTTATTATACGCGCATACAATAGCCAACTAGACGTTTCAGTGTTGGTGTTATAAATCGTTCATCAGCAAGTAAAGTATTGCAAGGGTTTGTTTGTTCCTCCAGGACACGAGTGACTGTGAACTCTCGCCTCAAGATAGTCCTAGCCCTAGCAGCAAGAACGGAAGTCCATTCTCAAAGCCCAAAATTAACCGTGCGTCCACCGATACGGTGAGCGTTAAATTAATAAACGTGTTAAAATCAGCTGTATCTTATTACGATGCTTTCCGGCAATCACGCCCGCGCAATCGTTCAATATTGAGTCGTTAGAAAATAAAGTTTTGATGGACGGCAATCAATACGTGACACTATATTATACCTAACTAAGCTAACCTATATTTTAATTGGTATAATTTGCTAACCATCCTAACCAACATCATTATTAACTAATCTTTACATAACCGATTCTTACTAACCATCTAACTTGTATTAAATAACCTAACTTAACTTAACTTAGCATTTCATTTTGAAACTTAACTTTGCATATTTTTTCAATAGCACGAAGGGGAGTTTTGACTTGGTACTTGTGGTGACTAATAGTATATTTTCTCTGACCATATTTCTGTTAATGAGTGGACTAGTTTTTCAACTGAACGCGTTCCACATGGAAACGAGTGACCATGGATGTTTACCCATTAACGACACAAGCGAGATACCGGGTTTGCTGATCATAGCAAGGGGTTAATCATCTACGGTCTAGGGGCCTACTAACCTCTCCCTTAGGCTTCGGCCGAGCTTCCTGATCAGTCTGTAATTCCTCCCGGGATAGCGGTGTCGGGGTCGAAATCTCCAGCGTAGCCGTAAGTCCATACGACGGTTCAGCACTCGATGTCTGGAAGTATGGTCCTGGTTATTTTAGACCAATAACTCTAAACGTTTTGGAATTTGTTATTTAATACCCACTTCAATTGCCAGGGTAGATTTGAAGTCGGTCAATATGTATATTTTTGCAAGTTTGTACAAGATGTGACTTAAGCATTATTTCATTACAACTAGATATTATTTAATTCATAACAGATTACCGACGCGCATTTGAAATATGCATCGTTGCATATTAGTTGACTTGTGACAGATTGCATGTGAATTAAGCTTTATTGCATTACAACCAGAGATCTTGTTGCTTTACAACAAGAAGGTGATTGAGTTCTTAACATTATTGCATTGCAACCAGAGATTAATTTACTTATAACATTGCGCGCATGCGATTCAAACATTATTTGCGCATGCATGTTATTGACCTACAGAAAAACATTGTGCGCATGCGCATACGTTATTTTGTATACTAGACTCGCGCCTCGATAACTTGTTTGTTCTACATGAGATCTTGATAAGTATTGCGTACAGAAACTCCATCGCTTGTCACTATGCAAACGCCTCAGTCACTATGGAACTCAGTGACGCCTAAGTGGTATCTTATCTATTCCGTTCTACTCTTCCTTTCCCCAGGAAATGAACAATATCCACGGTAAGGGAGAGAAAAATGACATTGATAAAGCCACGAAGACAAACAAGAAGAAGTTACAAAAGCAAAAAAGTGATTATCCTTCCTTAACTGTAAGTACGAGACAAATCTTGGTTATCCTGTGTAAGAAATACCGAGAGAAACCTTGTCCCTAGTTTGTTCACGTGGCACTGACGAGATAAGGATTTTTGAAAAGTGAATTTGCTTTCAATTTTGAATGGCGTCTCTACACAGAAATATTAGGCAAAGTGACCTCAAATGAAAGAGCGCACACACGAGATCTGCCTTTCCCTGTAACCATAACTTAACATAGTATAGAACCTTAGATCCAATAGCGAAACTGGGTGAGATCGAGACAAAAGTCGTGACATGGAAATCGGGCGATACACCGCCGTCAATCAAAAAAAGAAAAACAAAAATAAAAACGTAAGAGAACACAAAGGGGTACATGGGAACCGCACTATTTAACAATTATTCGCCGAGGGCGAATTGAATATCGGAGAATATTTACCGAGACGCGAGTCTTCGAGCGGCAAGGTAAATATTCTCCGATATTTACTAAGGCTGAGGCAAATAATTTGTTTTAGTATGAATACACAGGTGATTCTTTCAACAACAAAAAAATAAAAAATAAAAATAAAGAAGATAAAAGACATTTTCCCCCGGTAACAGCAATAAAGCGGCTGGCCGCCATTTTGGATTATCGCTGGAGGTGATTATCGTGTATAGTGTGAGTTTCTCGACCAATCAGCGCGCGAGATTTTCAATAATCACCTGTGTATTTTTACTAGAAGGGTTTATTTGATTGACATTAGTCTGTTGTCTGTTTTGCTCGTTTTTTACATATTTTTTCCTACCAGTTTTGATTTCGTATAGTATTTACAACACTCCTTATCTTGTACTAATGTTTTTTCTAAACATATTTTGACAATTCAATGCCATTATCTGATAATAGGTATACTTTTCCTTTCTTCCTCACTACTGATGATGGCAAATGAATTGCCAAAATTAACACTTTTAGGGGAAAAAACAGTATATAAGGAGTGTCGTACATAATATACGATTTTTAGTCTCTTTACTATACTACTTTTGATCAGAAATCGTTTGATTTGAATTCATAAGAAACTGAAGAATTCCTCACAACCATCAACAAGGGATTAATTGCACAATTTTGTTGATAAGATCAACTAGAATCCGATTTACCGCTATTCATTTTATCTACGGCCTTCCTTTTCGACCATTTTCCACTTTTGTACTCTATTCATCTGACGTCTTCCATCCTGCCTCATTGTAGTCACTTTACAAAATCTTTGTTTTTTACAACATTCAATTCATATCTTGAACATCTTGAACCAATCTGTATAGGCTTTATTCTGACCACTGTCGTTGTTGAAAACAATTTTCAAGTCAGTAAATCAACCGCATTGCACGAATACAGCCTAAACATGGATCGAATGAAATTTCTCCAAATGCCATATGGCTTCTGAGTCGCTTCCGAGTTCTAGCCAATACCTTAATACAATTTATAAAAAAAAAATATAATAATTTGCATAAACTATTCCCTACCACATATATATTTCTTTCATTATTGGGTCGAAAGCGAATTTAGAAACCCGAGGATCGAATATTGTCGTCTTAATTTTGGAAATGAAAAGAAAGCCAACAAAAGGAAGGAGATCTCTGTCAGTGGTCAATCGTGGATTCTGCCTTCAACAAAATCAGTTTGGTTTTCAACAATGATCAATAATCCGATAATTTGTCAGTTTTAGTGATTTATTGCTTTAAGTAAACGTTTTTGTTTACACTATTCTACTTAATGCCAAACACTTTTATTGTCGGAAAACATGTTAGACATTTTTATGTCTCCAGCTTTGAACCTTCGTCCATTTGCCAATCATCTTTGTGCATAACATTTCACTCAGGATACCATTTCTAAAAACTATGAACGTTATTGATAATTATGAGTAAACTGGAAGATAATTCAAGACCTCTTTGGGCACTACGTGTACCAAACTTTCATAAGCAACGGTCGCTCTCAGATACTTCAGTCTTCGACGTTAAAAACATTCCAGTGTCGAACTCTTCTCCTGATTTTGGACGCCAGCTTTCGGCCGAAGCTGCTTCTCCTCCACCTCCTCTTCTGCAAATTCAGGAAGATAAGGGCATTTCTGGAAACAGTAGGATAGAGTCTACTTTGCCTTCAAGGAAAGAGAGATCGTTTACACAGTTAAAAGAGTTACGTCCAAAATCGCACACAGGAAGCGAAAGAGCCGTAGACTTTATTTTCAAACTTAGAATGCCTGATATTTGGGAAAGAGCTTCTGCAAGAAGTCCATGGATAAATCGTAAATCTAAGACAAAAACCGGAGATACGGTAACATTTCACTTTATTCATGATTAATCGATTTTTGAAAGAAATATTTAAGTCTGTGATCGAAGCTGTGTCTGTTTTTTGATGTGGTTTTGGGTATGATTATTCTTTAACAATATTCCTTCTCAATGGAAAGTTTTATCTAAGCTTTTAACTCAATTTTATGGTGACGGTTTTGTTTACTTTTTGTTGGAGAACAATAATTTCAGTTTTAAGAATAAATGGCTTATCAATAGATTTTTTAAAAAGTTATTAACATCAATTTTTTTCAAGAGGCTTTGTATCATGAAGTCGTTAATTTTGTATCAATCAAGAAAACCCCCTTAGAGTGCGGTAATCGTGACTTCGCAAATTTGTTCATTTACAAATGCATTTTAGTTAAACGTTAGACGACGTGAGTGAACCGGCGTGGCACTATGCTATGTTTCACTCTTGTGATGTTATGGTATTGAAGTGAACATTTTCGCTTCCATTTTCACTGCATTGTCATTTAGTGCAGTTTTCGTATGACTGTCAAAAGCTCAGTGCCGTAAGCGTGACGTGCCGTGACCGTGATACTTTCTAGAATTTTAATTTGCTG